CCTTCCCCTCCCGCACCCAGACACAGGCCGGGCAGGGGAGGAATTCTGCTTTTAACCCCTCTGTGTTCTCAGAGGCATGTCCGCCCTCAATTGGTCACCCCAAGTGTCAGTATCCAAACCTGACCCCTGACTGGATTGACCTGTTCCTTCCAAGAAAATTCTTTTTCCGTGTCAAACCACGATAACACAAAATGTTTCTGTGATGTCACGCATGACCAATGCCATTGTTATAATTTTAGGTTGTACCTAAATCCTAATTACCTTTAGATTTCTGTAAGTACAATGAGCTAATTTCTCATGTTGAGTGTTAGAATGAGTTACAGAGTTTTGGAAGAGGATTTCAGTGTGACAGGTGAATGCATGCTCATATATTTCAGCAGCATTTGTGGGGTCCACATTCTTCTGAAGATCCCAAGAGTGTTCCAGGAACCAAGTACACTAAAACTTGTTTGTAACACACATTGAGTCCCCACATGAAATGAACACAGTCTGGGAGAAGGATCCAGTAATTATGCAGTCCCAGACTGCAGTGGGGTCTGCACTGACTGTGTGAGCAGTAAATTGATATAAACCCACTTGTCAAGAGCCATCTGCAGCTCAGGCTGTTGTTGACCTCCCTTCTAGCCTCTTACTGTTTTCACATGGAAATTCTAGAGAGAGATTCAAAAGTATTCATGTGGGCTTGGTCTGGTCACTGAGTTGTGTTGCAGGGCAAAGTTGAAAAGATAATTACAGTTGTTTGAATCACCCAGATTTCCAAGACTTCTAGAAGTGGTTGATGTCCACAATTATGAGGATAAACAAGTAAATTAGGTGTTCTGATGTTGGCAATGTGGGCTTTTCTTATATTTTACCATCAGTCAGCATTAACTGCTGCTAGAATATGCTAGCTGTCAGCAAACAACCATGAAGTAGAACACTTATCTGTGAAAAGAAAAATGTTGTCATATTCTGCAGACCATTAGATGGAAGGGATTGCTTTGAGAAGTATCTTAAAAATTTCAATCACATCATTAGTTTCTGGAAATGTCTACCCGGTGACAGTCTACATAGAAAATGCAGAACAGAAAACACCACTGCACTTTACACATTCCAGCTTCTCATTTAATCGTTGATGTGAAAATTCAGAAATACCTATTTTAGTAGTTTTCTTCTAGTTGGATATAGTGCCTCTGTTTCAAAAGCAATTAGGTTTTGGGTTTTTTCCTGCGTGGAAAATTATTTACTATTTCTACCTTCTGCCAGGAAAGAAGTGGCACACTTCTTCAAATTTTAAAATGCTTTGACCACTCAGCACATCCATGTAGGTGTGATTTTTCTTGAGAAGTTAGTAGTTAGCACTGACCCAGTAAGACACATGCTGTGGGCAGAGTCACAGGTGATTTGTGTGGGGTGGGGGATTTCCAAGGGCTCATCTAAGCCAGGCTTGATTGGGTTCTGAGACGTGATAGAATCACAGCACAGAGCACTGAACCTTCAGGGTAGATTTGTATCCTTTCTCCGTAATCACATGCTTGGCCTGGGTGGCAAGAGAACAAGCCTTTCTTGCCATGAGTAATTGGATGTTTTGCAAACAGTACCTTAATTTAGGTAATGCCCACAGCTATATGGTAGTGTATGTAAATTTACTGGAGGTTTAGTGAATAGATTGTGACTGTTTTGAGCATGAGATCAAAGAGATTTTTTTAAACCCAATCTAAACAACACCAAGCATAAAAAAATAATTTCTTCCCTGACATACACATGGAAGGAAAATAAAAGAAGGAGTGAAGAACATGTACATTAGTATATACATTCATAGTATTTTTGCTGGACTTTTTAAATGAGGATGGGAAAAAAGCTGGGACAGTCAGAGTGACAGAAGCTTGACATGGAACAGGTTACTAAAGCAGCTGGGGTTGTGGTGTCCACATGAAGCAAAATCTGTTCGGATTGTGAGAGGAAGAATAAGCATTTCTGATTTGTCTGCAGAAAAATTTCTAGGCAGTGTAAAGTCTGCAATTCTGCAGGGAGTCACCCTGTCTTAGGGATGTCTCACTGGAGGTAAAACTTAGCAATAGTTATGGCTTTCATGGTAGTGTGTATGGCATGTTATTGTTTACATGGGACCTAATTTAACTTTGAGTCAGCCTAGATGGTAGCTAAACTCATCTAAGTATTGTGATTTCAAACACCTAAGTTAAGAAGCTTACGTGCCTTTCTTTTATAGTATTAAGAAAAAATTTTAGTCTACTTTCTGCTTATAATGGTTTTCCATTATATAACCATACCCCTAGGTATGGAAGTAGCTCTTTTTTCCCAGATTTCTCCTATATTAATTTTCATGTCTTTTCTACAGTAAGACCCTTAGCTAAAGACTACTTTTGGATGATCCTTAGTTTTGTAACTTACTTTCGTATATATCACAGGTGAGTCAGCAGACAAAAAAATGTGCAAAATCTTGGTAAGCCACCCTCTCCCATAGTTTAACTCACTGATTTCACAGATACCTCTCATTTACATTAATGCTTTTTATGTGTCCCAGACAACCATTGTCTCAGAACCAGTGTTGGTGCATTTGGGGACTCTTTAGTAATAAAGAGACAGAGAAACAGCTCTGAATAAAAGAGGTTGAGATGAATTATAGATGAAGAGGAGGAAAAGCTTAGACAATTGGTTATTTGGGTTTTTTTTCAGGAAGGTAATGTTTGAATAATTTGCCAAAAATACATTTTTTTATTTTCAACATTTTAAAATGCAGAAACTTTTATTTCATGTTAAGAAAGATCTTATTTCCATGCTTCATTAGCATAAAACCATTTCAGAATCTCAATTTTTTTAGTTCCCAGAATGAGATGTATTTTTTTATTAGTCTTGCTTGTAAATAGTTTTATCACAGGTACAGGCCTCACTGTTGTGAAATCATTTTAATAAGACCAATTGTTTTACAGTTCTGTGTAGTTTTACATTCCAGAATATGCATTGAAATTGGAATGTATTCATATTTGACCATTTTCCCTACACTACAAAACAAATTGAGCTGATATTTGCTAGCATGTATTAGAAGTGAAATGGAAAAAAAAAACCTACCAAACAACAAAAAATCAAGGAGAAAATAGAACTAAAAAGCTACTTGGAATCGTTTTGTGAAATTGTGTCCACAAAGAAGTCTTTGTTCTCAAATAAGAATATTTGCCAAGAGTATGCCAGAGCAGTACTACTGAAAGTATCGTGATTTTAGTTGGAGCAGCATTCGGCTTGGAGATTATGGTAGATAGAGCTAATAAAGCCTAGCCTGTAACAGAGGTGGGTGGGGGGAAATCCCACAGTGCCTAGAACAGCTGTTGATGTTGAAACTGTAGTAATGTTCCTGGTGCTGGCAAACAGAAGAGGACACAGTACCTCCAGTGGTCTGTAAGCTGCTCGCTTTCCTGGCAGAAATCAGGTCAGTGTGCTCCAGAGCAATAAAAGCTGAAGTTTTCATTCTCTACGTGCTGCTTTATTGGATTGCTGGTGGTTTTGGTGTGGGGGGACAAGCACCGGGCCAGCAGGTTTAGGCCATGCTGTTCGGACCAGACTGAGGGAATTGTGGTGGTCCCCTGCTGCAGTATCATGGCTTCTTCTTCATTAGGCATAAGTGGAGTTTCCATAAGTGCAGTAAACCTAGGAAAAAGGTGGGAGAGAGACATGCAGGGAGAGCTCTAGATTTCTGCCGTTTTGTTCTTTTAATGGGAAAAATGGTGATATAGAATGGTGCAATGGGAATATATTTCTGGTTTTCTTGAGTTTTTCCTATGTTTAATTTATTTATTCATTATAGTTTGCAGCTGTAGTTCTAGGCATTTATATTGATACTGCCAACAGTAATAATTCTGAGTCAGTATGAGTTTCTGCTAAGTTACCCGTCTCCTTTGTTCAAGGGGAGTGCGCAGGGAGTTGTATAAGTAAATGATTTCTTAAAAGAAAAACAACATAATTTTTCAGCAGCTCTTTTCTATTAAGAGGAACTGGTCTTTAGTCTTGTGCCTCTCTTCCAAGTCATGTGCACAGCTTGTCTGGTAGATTTTTGTTTCTGCACATGTATGCAGTTGCTTCAGAGCTACGTGAGTTAAGCAGAAATAGAATCAAATCAGAAAATTCCAGACACTTCATAAGGGTTACAAGGAACACAAATGAGAGCTATTGCCACTCTTCAGATGAAAATACCTCCCTCTCCAGATCAAGCAAAGGCCAGTGGATATGTGTTTGCTTAGAGAAAGATCGTCAGAACATTGTTGCTGGATGTACACACACTGAAAAGATGTACAAGTGAATGACACCTCTGGTGTATTCTGTCTTCCAAATCATTAAGGCAGCAATTTCACTTCACTCAGGTTACCATTTTGCCTTCCCTGCCTAGAATGTGTTTTCTCATTCTCCCTTTCATAATTTGAAGAGGAGAAGTGTGTGGATTGATTATTGAAGTAGTCCCTATGTGAATAAACTGAAAAATATAACATACTTAATAGAGTACCACAAAATATGAACTGTGTTTTTATTTGAACTTTTTTTGCTGTTTAATTTATGCTTAAGTGTGCTGAACAATCTGCATATCTCAATGACTATTAGAAGGGGGCAGTTTACCCGACTTGCATTTGGAACTGGAGTTTGCTCTAGATTCACTGCCAAGTAGTTAACACACTGTTGTTGAGAATTACAACATGTATTTCATTCCCAGAAATACTGAGATGTGTCTGAAATGTTTTAAAAAAATCTCTGAATAAATATAACAGAGTAGTAAACCAGAGGAGACCTTGAAATAAATTTTTATCATCTTTTTTGACAAGTTTATGTCTATCATACCTGGAATCTATCAATGAATAGGTTCTGACTTCAAAGAGCTTACAATATCACATATATTTTAATGTTTAGGATAATTTTCTTTGTAATTGTGTAATAAAATTTACAGTATTCCTCAAAAGAATTGCTCATTGAAATATACTAAAAGTTTCTATTCTGTTTCTTTGATATGTTTCACATAGGAAAGAAGAGAAAGCAAACGAAAGCTGAGCAAAGAAATGTCAGAAAAAGCCACAAGGGAACTAGAAAAAATGCAGTTAAAAGAAAAGGCTGATGAAAAGTATAAAGAGTGGCTAGAGAAGAAGAGAGCTGAAGAGGCAGAAAAGAAGAAAAAAGAGAAGGTGTTAAATGAACTGATAATTTATTTGGATGGAGTTACTTAATCTGAAATGTATTGCAGGTTCAGATTTGATGTATTCAAATCTTACATGGACATCAAATGGCAGTGTTGTACATGAAGAAATTTGTTTGAAGAGTTACAATGTTAGTGCCTTAAAGACACTGTGGTATAGTCAGCAAAGTAAGGTGCATGTTAATGCAGTTTGGCATTTTTGTTAATTGCCTTTGATTTTTTTCTCAGGGAACACTGGAGTAACATGTAGGTTGGGGGTTGAGGTTTTTTTTCAGTCTTAAACCAAAAAATGCATATTTTCAATTTTTAGGAAAAGGTACTTGTATTGGAAGAAATATTTGAATTGTATTCATCAGTCTGGAAATCTGCAAAAAATTTTTCACTATTTTGTGTATATTGTACAGGGCTTTGTCTAAGACTACCTTATTTTTATTTTTTTATTTTTTTATTTTTTTTAGGAAAAAGAAAAAGAACGGGAGGCTGAGCTACAGGAGAAGAGAACAAGATCAGAGAAAGTCTTTAAGGAATGGCTGCAAAATGCTAGAAATAAACCACAACCTCCTTTAAATGGTTATGGTTTCCCACATGGGAGGTCTACAGGTTTGTATGTATAGTACACAAATATGTAGTGACTTAAGTTTGAGGATCCTTCCTTTTAGTGTAAAATGAAGGCTGCTTAAGACAATCATCTAATGTGTAATTTTGGCACATAAGAATGATTACTTATACTATGCTGTATGTCTGGGGAACAGATTGAGACCTTTTGTGTATTTTTCTTTACCTTTTTTTTATTTGGAGTAAAATTACGTTATTTGAGATAATTATGTGGCGTACCAAAGGATGCTTTTATCTGATTTTTCTTACCAGGCACAGGAATCACTAGAGCACAGCACTGGGTCCTGTGAAGCAAATTAGTTGTGTCCTTGTGAAGTTAGTTTTCCTGCTCCAGAAGGTGTGTGTCAGCACACCTGAATTCCCCTTAGAAAAGAGGTGGGGTTTTGAGACATTAGAACAATTAGAAGCTGACAGAAGTGCTGTCTGAAAAAGGAGGCAGGGTCATCAACCTGTATTGAGCTAAAATTTCCTTTCTGTTTCACTTTTCACCTGCATTGCACCTCCTTGGCTTCTGTAATCATGTTCCATTTTTGTTTGCAAACATGTTATTTTTCTGCACAACTAAAATAATTGCTTCTATTTGACTTTGCAACAGAAATAGTTTTGAGACCAAAATTCTGATCTCTGTATGTTTAAGAGACAGGTATAAAGCAGGTGAATAACCTTTACTCTTGCACTTACATTTATTTGTAAGTAGTGATATACCTTGCCTTCATGTTTTGGTTGGACCTGCACTACATACTGACAGTTGTAGTCATTTATTTAAATGATTTTTGAAAAATATTTGTCAAGTCACTTGTGGCATTCAGTATAATGTATTACAAACTTTGAAGTGTATCTGTCATGTGGTTGTGTAAAACAAAGTAGCCAATTTGTAGACATTTACAGTTTTTAAGGACACAAAGCAGTGAGCATTCAACCTGCTTATCATTTAAGTAGCGATGAAGACTATGCCAGTTACTATTTAGAAAACAAAAAGGTGGATTGGTTATCATTTTGGGTCACTTAAATTATGTGATGGGCCTGTGCTGTCTTTCTCTGAAGACATTGTTGTGTTGTATTTAGTCCAGGTCATTATTATAACTGCTCGCATTGGCAATAACTATTCTTCTTATGTGTATTTTCTAAATGTTTTAGGGAGTGCTGATAGAAATTTGTATCCAGTTCCAGCATATTGTAACCCCATTCCTTGGAAACCGGTACATGTGCCTCCCCCAAAAGAAGACAGAGTTCTTGCTATGAAGAAGAGTCAGAGACCTGTATTTTGTCAGCCACATGCATCTTTACCAGTGGTGATTTCTAAGCCCAGGAGTAACCTGTGCAGAAAGAAGTTATAGTCCAGAAAAAATGTTCTTACAATCTCGACCAAATTGGACCATAAATGTGAAGTTCTGTGTACTTATATGCCCAGTGCAGATTGCTTTGTGCCTTTCTTTTTGTTTTTTTTTCATTTTTGTCAGTAGATTTTGTGTTTACTGCTGGTTGACAAATCAGGCTTTTAATGTTTTTTCTATATTGCATTTTAGTTTAAAAAAAAAAAAAAAAAAGGAAAAGATAAATTTTGATGGGACTATACCTCAATGCCAATAAAATGCACAGGATTGTTTATTCCTTTCCTCTCTTGTTGTTGAAAGAATTGTTGTATATGTAATTATTATTTTGGGCAACAGTATTAACTAGGTTATTTTAAAGATAAATTTAATTTGTAAAAAGTTGTTTTGTTGTGTTTTAATTTGTAACAAATTTTAAAACAGTTCTTGGCTTAGTGCAGAAGGAATTGGCCTGCCTCAGTTCCAGGGTTGTCATGTCACTGGGATTACAGAGCTGTAGTGGGATAGCTTACATTGCTGGAGTGCTGCAACAAATGTATGGAGGCTCTTTAGGGAAGCACAGGCTCTTTGCTGACCCTGATATTTACAAACCAGGGAGAGCTGGTCAGGGATGTGAAGTTTGGGGCCAGTGATGACATGCATGAATCTGTGGGATTTAGTAGATTGCTTCTGAGAATGCTGAGGAAGTGGCAAATGTCACGGTAAGGATACTCACAATTATCTTTGAGAGATCTGGTGATAAGAGGAGGTTCCTGAGAGCTAGAAGGAAGTGAATGTCAACACAGCCTTCAGGGAGGGTGTGTATGCAGAACTGCAGGCCAGTAGTCAGCCTCACCTCAGTCACCTGAACAGGTGATGGATGTGGCTGCATGAGGAGGAGCATTGGCAACAAAGCGGGGAGTCTGTCCCTTGTACCGTAGCGATGTGAGACCACACTTAGAGTTCTGTGCCCATTCCTGGGCATGCCAGGAAAAGACTGACCCCGATGTTCTGGAGCAAGCTCAGTGAAGGGCCGCAAAGATGATTAAAGGATTGCAGCATCTGACAGACAGAAGCTGAGAGAGCTGTGACTGTTCAGCATGAAGGAGAGAAAGTTCAGTAACGTCTGAGCAATGTCTGTAAATACCTGATGGCTGGAGAGAGAGATCAGACCCTCCTCAGTAGTGCCCAGCAAGAGGAGAAGAGGCGGTGAGTGGAAATCAAAATACAGGAAATTCCATTTAAACATGAGGCAGAAATATTTAAGAGAGAGTCCTTGAATGCTGGAACAAATTGCCCAGTGATGTTATGGAGTTTCCATTCTTTGATATATTCAAAACTTGACTGGACAAAGCCCTGAGAAATCCTCCAGCTGGCCCTCTTTCGAGCAACAGAGTTGGACTAGATGATTTCTAGAGATCCATTCCAATCTCAACAATTTGGTTATTAATGGTGAAAAGGAAAAAGTAGAAATAAAGAAGACTTATTTTTCCTGTTGTAGATGTATCACTTTGAGAAATACCTTGTTATCCTTTAAAAGTTACAATATTAAAAAGTATATTGCATATTATAAAATTTCTGTGGTAAGAAAACACATTAAGTCACATTCTGGAATGTAAGTGTTCTATTGATTCTAGTTCTAGGCTTAATAGAGTATTTTAATTTCTTCAGAGCAAGTTGTAACTAATACTAAACTATCTCATGTCAAGTTTGTACTTAATACATTACTTGTAGTATTACTTTGAGTGAATCAGTTTATACAGTATACCTGTGTTTGTTCTTTCTAGATAGTGGCAAATGCTAACAAGACTGCAACCAACGGCTTACATTTGGATTTGCACTGATAGATTATTTGGTTTGTGTTTGCATTTAGGCTTTCACAAAGTCTTAATTTTACTGTATGCATTTAGGAGTAGTCTGGAGTCTGTAAAATACATGGAACATCAAACTGTGTTTCTGGTAAGTAGGAGCACACAGAAGTCTGCACATTATCTTCAGGATGTAGAACTGTGTGTTCATCTTTTTCTATAAGAACCTCTGCAATAGAGGGGTATGAAACTAGTGGATTAATAGATTAGTTGTTAATCTCATCATTTTGCCATGTGGAAATGTCTAGTCAGACTCAGAAGTTTCATATTTATGTTGTAAGCACCCAGTGTGGGGTGTTTGGGAGTGGGGCTGAGCCTCATCCCCAGTGGGTGCAGCTGTGAAAAGCAGGTGAGCAGCACTGACAGCACTGAGCCATGGAGTGCTCAGGTGTGCTGAGCAACCACACAGGGCACAGAGGCACACAGGGGCAGTGCATCAGCAGGAGGTGGTAAGCAGATTCTCAAGGCTTTCTTTGGTGTCAGTGGTGGGTCCAGCATCATTCCCATATAATGGTGACCCCAACACGATTTGGGATTTTGCTGTAGGACGAGGTGGAGATGGAGCCCAGCGTAGCCTTGAGAGCAGTGGGGAGATGCTGCCTGATGGGCCAGACTGGATTTAATACCTGGGGTAGGTGAGCTGCTGGGAACATAATGGAAAATAACTTCGGACCATCTAATGCAACAAAAACTGTAAAAGAAACAAGAGAAGTGGTTAAAGCAGCAGTAGGAGCTAGATTCAGAGTGGCTCTGTTGTTCAGTGCCATGTGCTCACCTGCTGGTAAAATATGTGTACTGTGCTTGTGAATTGCAGCTGTAGAGTCTATCTTATTCTTGTATGTTACTTTATAAAGTTACTTTATAAAGTTGTGTGGCTGTCCATGGAATTCTAGAACTGTAAATCTTGTGTGTTACTTTATGTTGTGTGGCTGCCCATGGAATTCTGTAATTGTTATTCTTGCATGTTACTTTATGAAGTTGTGGATGTTGATGGAATTCTCTGTTATTCTTGTGTGTTGCCTTATGAAGTTGTACTGCTATTGATACTGTCAATATTCTAGAAGTGTAGCTATAAGGATTTTGATGGTATGAAATGTAAGTTTGGGGAGTGAATCAAGGTCAGTACATGTTCCAGAGTCAGTGGAGCCTACACAAGGGATACTTACACCATATTTGCTGTCCTTCTTACAGGACCCTGTAGGGGAATGGTAGACATGTCATTTAATTAAAAGAAAAAAAGGAGAATTATTGTAGGCACACAGTTTGTGGTGATTGGGAGTGGGGCTGTGGCTGATCCTCATCCCCAGTGGGTGCAGCTGTGCAGGACAGGTGAATAAAACTGAAGGTGAGGAGCCATGGAGTGCTCCGGTGTGCTGAGCAACCACACAGGGCACAGAGGCACACAGGGGCAGTGCATCAACAGGAGGGGATAAAAGGCTGGGCTGAAGAGCAATAAAGGGCAGATGACTGAACCCTTGGGTGTAGTTGTGGCTCCACTGTCGCTCTGATATTATTAGGTAAGCTGTGTGAAGCTTGTGGGTGTTTAAGATAAAGGGAAGTATTTTACTGTAATGCAAATGATTAATTTTGGATTAGGTTACAGAGATTTCTTGGGACTCTGATTTAGTTGAAGATTCGTATACTATTTTAGTGTTTTCTCTAACAGGTTCTCTGAATGTGGCTACCAGCAAGGTGTGTTGGCATAATTATATGAGTGTATATCGATGGCTTTGTATTTCTTTTTGGATTTATTTGCTTGTAGTGAAATAAAATTAACTAGAAGACTTACAACCCCTAAAACAGAAGCTTTAAGATGAGGCACTTACTGTAGCTTATCCATAGCATTGTAAAGACAGTTCTGTCCTAACTAAATTGCAGCAAAAGGTTAAGGCAAGATAGCTGCTGAATCTAACATAATGATTTTGCTAAAGAAGAGAAATAATGTTTGGATTTTTTCCAGCAAGGTATCAACTACACAATAAATTGGGCTGGTCTTGTAGCATCAGATTGTGTGCTACAGAAGGCTATAATTTTATGCTGTTGTGGCAAATAATTTGCGCCATTCTTTCTCAGCTGTTAGAAGATAAATCTTGACACTAGAGCAACTAGTTTAAAGGGTTAATACCAGTGGTTTGATTTCACTGATGAGAAGTGATTTCTCTCTCTGTTAGGATATCTGTGCCAGGCTGAGCACGGCTCACAGGACACTGAGTGAGGCAATGGCAGATCTGTAGGACGTGTGGGGCTCTGGTTGACCTGGAGTTCATTTCCCCACAGCAATCCTCACAGTGCTGTGCCTTGCATTGCTGCCTAGAAAGGTGTTGATAACAAAATTGCAAAAACAATTTCCATAGCAGATGTAGCTGCCAAGATGCAGGAAACAAAGATGGAAAGTGGATGGATAGCAGGTGAGGCTGCAGCTGTGACTGGGCACAATATGATGCCTCTGCTGCATTATTTATTTCACACGATACCAAAATTTATACACTGGGACAAGTGAGTTATTGTACCCTTCCAGCACTTTCTCCTCTGCCACTCTATGCACAGTTTGTCAGAGGTGTCCTAAGCCAAATGGGCATGGCAACAGCCTGAAGTGCCCTCATCAGCAGAATCTGGACAGGGATATTTATTAGGCTGAGTGCCAAAGCTGATGCACTGATCCAGTGTTGAACATTAAAGTTTCTGGCTGGCACTTGTGATGTTCCAGCTCATTGCAGCTGAACATTACCTGTGTGAAACTTGCCTGTATGTATTTCAAACTCAAATGGCTTCAGACCTTAGTTCTGTTTCATATCCAAATTCTACTTCTCAGGAAGGAAAATGGGAGGTAAAACTACCAGCATTCTTGGTGTAGGGAAAGTGGGTACTATAACCCAAATGAATTTAGCAAGGAATGTGTTTTCATGCTGGTTTAATCAGCTAGTAATGCAAAATGTTACAGAAAATGTAATTTGAAGAAACTCTAGGATTTAGGTGCTGCTGATGGTTTTTTTTTTTTTTAACTGATGTTACTGTTGATTTGTTTGTACAGTCCATGCTTAAATGCTGACCAGGGAATGATTTTTGCTTCCTTGTTAAGCTGAACAGCTTTAGAAATTGAAAATATTTAATGCAATTTCCTGAATTTAGTGAATGTGCTGATCATGTTTCATGAGATTCCAACACAAACAGATCTTTGAAAAAAATTCTCTATACTTTTTTTTTGTTATTTCAGGTGGTCTGGGTGTGTTGCTCTTATATAAAATTGTCAGGGTTCTTCAAAGGCTGCTTCAGAGGTGTAAGATTTCAGGATTAAAATGCTTAAACAGGAATAAGGACAATATGCTTCAACTTTGTGCCTTTTAAAACTATTGAAGTGTGTCATTGCCACTTAGTGCTAAGCCTGTGAGACTTTAAAGCATAATCATCTTGTAAAGCAGTTCAAATGGTTGGTAGAGTCACTTAAAATGTTCTTCTACTTCATGCCTAGTTAAGTTAGACCAGTGATTTGTTGTTCATTTACTGTCTTTGTCAATAGATTTGACCTCTCTTCTTGAAACTTTTGACATTCCTCTTGAAATGATTGTGGTTTTTCTATAATAGCTTACAGGTAATAATAATTCCAGAGCCAGTGGTTTAGAAAATGAGATGTGTGAGTTTCGGTCTCTGATCCACGAACTTTTACTTATATACACAAAATAAAATACTTTCAGCTGAAAAATTAAACAGCTCGAGGTCATATTCTCTCACCTGAGTACCATGGATGAAATTAATGAAAATAGCAAGTTGATTGTTGAAAGATACGGTTCTGATTTTTTTTTATTCTAGAAGGTTTGTGAAAAATCTTTTAATCGTATTTATGATTTTTTAAAATTGTATGTTAAATGCTGTGTGACAATATTTTAGTCTTTTGTACTCTGTGGGAAGTTCTAGGTTGGGTTTGGATACAGTTTGAATGATATTTCAGTGGAAATATCTGAGGTGGGAAAAAATTTACCTCCTCTACTGATGCTAAAACCTAATTATTTTTACAGCTGTGTCCCTTCGTATCGGAGTTTAGCTTTAGCTGCACACAGCTGGTTGGCAGGCTATGGATGTGTGGATGGTAACTCATATTTGTGCACTGCAACTTGTGTTTTCCTGTGTGCTCTGCAGAGAGGCTTGCTAGGAAGAGAAACATTTAATTGGCATTTTGACTTTACAAGTATTACAATACTGTGCTACTGTTTCCTTTTAATTTTGCTTGTATTCAGTTGTAAACTTTGTGTAAGTCCTGTACAAGAAGGATTTGCACTCTAGACATTCTAGACCAAATCACTGGGAAGCAAAAGACATGCCTCATGAGCTGATTATATGATCTACAAAGTTTGTCTGTGGAATGGTTTGTTTTCTCCCTTCTGCTAATACTATGAAGCATTTTTGTTCTGTTTTATCTTGGGACTTTTTTATTAGCCGAAACATATACAAAATTACTTTTTTATTTGCATAAAGATTTCATACCTACTTCTCTCATTCTTAATATATGTATGTGCTTTTAAATGAATGAAAAACATTTGGCTAACTTTTAGTATTACTTCAGTTTCTTAACACAAAAGGGAAGTAAATTGAATTATGAGCTTTTGAATCATGTTCTCAAAAAATAATTCTTGTCTAGGTGTGTCTAGTTCATAGAATTACACAGTATGCTCTTTAATTAACATTGAGACAATATATAATGGGTAAAAAATGCTGCCTTGTAGTGAAATCAAAGAACTTGATTTAAAAGTCATGAGTTATATATCTGAATCTTTGCTAGATCAAGGACATGCTAAGTAACTTCTCTCTGCCAAAGTTATAGCTTGTCTGAAAGGTGCTAACTTTCACAAATGAGCCCTTTGATTGCCAGGTGAAAAGCCCATGTGTGCTTTTCCAGGGTGTGGGAGGCTGGGTCACACTGCACAGCTGAGTGATATGGGAGGTTGCAATTGTCTGGCTTTTTGGTAGTGGCTGGCATGTAAAGGAGCGCCTGGCTGCTCCGGTGATACATCACTGTCAAAGGCACTGTCTCAGTGAGCAAATGCAATTAAATATTATCTAGGAACCAGATCATGACATTTTTTCCATGACTTTGTTTTGATTTTGTTTCTTACTTTGCTGCCTTGTTATTGTTGTTGATTATGATTAAAGGCATGCTCTGCTAGGAACTAAATCCACTTTGGAAATGTGAACTTTTTGAATAATATACTAAGATCTTACTGGTAGAGCATAAACCAAGTTCAAACAATGTCTGGAACTAACATTAAAGCCAGAAGTGATTGCCCTTTCAAAAACAAAGCCCCGGAAAAACTTTGGCAGTAAAGTATATTATAACTAATTATGTGTGTGCAATACCACACAAATAAATGCTATTTACAGACAAGTTATTACTTAAAGTTTTCCTCTCTATTCCTAGTTACAAAAGATAACTTGTAGTTTACTTTTCTGCATTTTAAATCCACCCCAGATTCCCTCAGTAGTTTTTTAGGGGAATCTAAAGCAAAAACCGTAAGATGAAAAAACAACAGCAGCTCAACCAATCTAATATGAAACCTTGACTCACAGCAGCTTGAGGCAGAGTTTATAATCCAACTTTCTGGATAAACGAGTTCTCCCTGTTGCTGGAGAAAGGAGGATAGGGATGAGAGTCTTGTCATAGATTTCAAATGGAGCTTGATTTGTAACATCAAGCACTGGTTGCAGTGCTCTGTACTTTCAAGAGTGCTTTAAAGGCTGTTTTTTTCCTCACGTAATAAGTTTCTGATATGTGTCCAAATGGATAGATTTTTGAGAAATTGCTCATCAGTGTAAATCTGATAAGCCTTTCCTAAAATTTCTCTCAAGTGATTGGAGGGAAAGGGAAAATGAAAGTTACTTGATTTGTCTTTTGTCTCACCTAACTTCAGCCCCCTACCTTGTGAACTGCTCCCACTATGTTCTTCTGTATCTGTGGGTACATGTAGGCATGCTCAGGGTACAGCATTGCTTTTAGAGAAAGGCAGATTACCCTGCAGAAGGGTGGGGGTTTTCCATGGTGTGCTCTTCTGGGGACATCTGCTGTGTGGGGTTTGCTGCTTCACCAGAGCCACATGTCTAACCTGTGCCTTTGCAGCCCATGGCTTCTGTAGCATCAGCTGTGTCTTGAGATAAACTGTGTCTATTATAGTCACTGTTACAGCTTCATTCTGAGTCTTACCTGTGGTATTCTTTCCTTACAATCCTGGATTGAGTCCCACTTCTGTTGAAAACAAGTAAAGGACAAAATCTAAAATGCTGTGAAAATCAAGGAAGTTTATTGTTGTGTTTTGCAAACTAACTTTCCAGCAATTTACTGAGAATCAACTAATGCATGTTGTGCTTTTGATAAGCAACATTACTGGCCAATCAAAATTAAATTTCTACTTGTCTGGGTTCCGGTTCCTCTAGACATAAGTTGCCAGTGTCTGTCAGATTTTAGTGGTTAGTGTCTCTTAATTCTCAGTCAGATGGAGAAAACTCAGAAGCAAGTCTTAGAAGTGAGAAAGATGAATTTTGTCTATGTGGTTGTATAGGTATTGGGTAGGACAGAGAGTCGCCAGGAGCATGAATATCCTCAGTTCTTGAGGACTTTTCAGTGTCACTTAAGCAGTATCAAAATGGATCACAAATCAATGGACAGTATGGGTTGTGCATCTGGTCCCTAGCATCATTGCCTGCTGCAACTAAAGTATCAGAAGAAAGAAAACCAAAATAATACTCCTAAAATTTTACTCTGTTAAATTAAACTCCCTGCAAATTGTCTGGAAGATTATTTTTGTGAAGAAACCTCTATGAGACTTTCAGAGCTTGTGCAGTTGAGACAATGATGCGGTAGGGAGTTGATGATATGCATAAATTTTTAGAGTGCAGGGTAGTAATAATATTTCAGTAGTGGAGATTGTGGTACGTGAAAAAAACCAGAATCTTCTAAATGAAATCTGATTAATGTACTTTCAAAATAGTTATTTCATTACTGAAATGAACAGGGTCTATGCCTTTATTAATAGTCAGCTCTTTATTAAAAAGTCAGCTCGGCAGGGGGCTCAACAAGGAGCTCACCCCCACTGTTGTAGCTTCTCCGGTAGCCGAAGGGTGAGCAGGCGTGCAGAGTCTGTCCCTGGAGTCTCCGTGACACACTGGTAGCTGGAGGTGAAGAGGTGTGAAATCTGTATCTGAAGTCCCAGCAGACTGTTCTCTCTCCTTCTCTCCTGGTAACACCAGGAAGTGTGTCTCCTTTGCTCCCGCTTCCCACAGCCCAGTCCAGTCTGGTCCTCTGCAGGTTATGGTGAGAGGTTAAACATAGACTAGAGATGTGGTTCCCTTTTCCATAACCAGCACACCCATCCAGCCCCCTCCACTGTGCCCATCTTTTCCATTTAGGAGTGTTTTTCATCCCCAAAACCCCCTCCCATGATTCCACTGGATTATTTTGCATCCAGGTCCTAGTGTGGGTGGGGTTGTAGGTGATTCCCAGGAGCAATTAGCTAATTAACATTTCAATGTCAGTACTTAGCCCAAGCCAAGTGTCCCAGCCAGGCTGTTTTGTTCATAACAATTACAGTGATATATCCAGTATATAACCTTTGATTTTGTGTTCACTATCACTAGGCCTGTGGCTCAGTAATGCTCCTAGGTTACCTAACACCTAACACTTTTCTCCTGCTTTCCAGAAGTATAAACACCTTTTAAAATACAGACATGTTGAACTAGTGAAATGTTCAGACATTTCTGAGAAATTCTGGCTGAGGAGTTTCTGGCTGGATTGTAATACAAAAGATTTTTAAAAAGTAATTTGATACATAAAAATAACTGATGATGGAATCCTAATTGTCATGGTTTGACACGGGAAGAGAATTTTTTTTTTTTTTTTTTTTGGAAGGAAGAGGTCCATCCAGTCAGGGGTCAGGTTTGGATACTGACACTTGGGGTGACCAATTGAAGGTGGACACGCCTCTGAGAACACAGAGGGGTTAAAAGCGGAATTCCCAGGAGGACTCGCTCTTCTTTCGTTCCGGTCATCGCAAGGTACGGACCTCTCCCCAGCCCAGGCTGGCTGGGGGAGGGGAGCCATGCGGCCTGCAGAGGTAGGCCAGGGGGTGAAGGATTGGAACCGAGCTGGGCCAGCTCCTGCGGACGGAAGGGTGGAAAACATCTGGGATGTCTTTGTTCCCCCTCCCCTAAGCTAGAGGGAAAAGAGATAGAGAGCCAGCAGACACCTGGGAGTTTGCCAGCAGAGGAGAAGGAGAAGGGGGGGGGAAGATGCCCAGCGGGGGAGACTGGAGACGGAGTCCTGGGCTGAGATTTCAGCTGTCCGGGGAGTCCGGGACTTTTAACCCTTTCCTGGGAAATGAAGGCTTTGTGAAATATTACTCTTCCTCAATTTGAAGGAAAGAGAGACAGCCTGAAACCTCAGATGTTCAGAGAAGAAGGTTAGGGGGAGATGATGGAGTGGCTTTTGGCTGGACTCTGCTTGTTTACCATAGACTGAACCACTCCTTCTTTCAAGAGGGACTGCATTTTAGGGGGATGCACTGGTGAGCCAAGAGACCTTCTTCAGCAACTACAAGTTCAGGAATGGACAGAGAGAGCTGAGGAATGTGTGAGGATGCCCTCCATCTTCAGAGAAGAAGAGAAGGAGATCTCTGTCCTTGGACCCTCGGCCCCAGGGGAAAATGGGGGGGACTCTAG